TAGCCTACGGTATACTCAACACTCAACTTTCTTATTGTTATGTGTTTAATTAGTTATGTATTTATTTATTTATTCATTTATTAGGATACTAAACTTCTTCGTAAACAGCAAACATATGTTTTCATTTCTTCATTTAGGGCTCCTATAGACGGTGAGGCTTTATGTCTTAGATCAATGTGGAAATGTAAGGGAAATCATTGCTCAATCTATTTACTACATGCTCACTGAGTCACAAGCTGAGAAATTATAAAGGACTTGAGTAATAACCACTTTAAAAATGGTTATTACACAACCACTTTGATGGACGAGTTTAGACCAGTTTATCAGGAGGTTTTTCACTTTGCTCATGTTAAAACTGAGATGAGATACCAGAAAAATATGTAGAGCAACATATATCGAGGTCACTTCATACTTTTCACTATCTTAGCTCAGAACTTTGTATGGTCTAAGCTTTCAGTTGTACTCTTTTTCTATTCATTCGAGTATGTTAACCAGCAACATATCACAGTAACTAAAACAAATATGTACTTTCACAAATAACATTGAAAATAGTTTTCCCTGTGAGCTGATCTCATTATGATATCTGTTCATTGAATCCAGTCGTATGATTTCCTAAAGTTGAAAAAAAGGTTTGGAGTTGTCTAAGCAGCTTGTAGATGCTTGGGCATGCAAAGAACTGAGGTAAAAAGGGATCTTCTATGTTGTAACAGTTGGTAAAGAGAGCACTGACTTGGAACTATATTAATAGAAACCGATTGTTAGTTTAAAAAGAATGACAATAGATAATGACCGGTTTAGACTCTCAGATTTTTAGTGTGTGGCACTACATGTACTCCATATATTTTTCACATGTTTAGTATTCTCTCTTACTTCTTGGCAAAAGTAGAAAGGTTCAGGCTGCTCATACATGCAGTTAATAAATAATTCTGGCTTCCTTTTTAAAGCCTAGACTTTTGTCTCTCAGTTTAATACAGTTTTATTTCTTTAGAGGTCAGTACGGTTTTCTTGCTAATGCTTCTCAAACTTTTTCTGTCATGCTTCATTTGAGAAGCCATAAAAAGTTTATACCTCACTTCACATAACCTTAATCAATCATTAAAAAGTTAAAACAAAGGGCAACAAAGTCCATAACTGATTGGTTGTTTCCTTCATAGCTTAACTACATAAGTAGTTTTTTTCTCTCTTTTCTTTTTTTGCACAATGCTAAATAAATTGTGGCTCTGTGACTCACTGGTGAGTTTACTCTAAATGCTGAAAGGCTATCTGGTAAAAGCAATGAAACAATGGGAGGAAAAGAACCAGACGAGACTGTGAATCAGAAGCTATTCGTTGTTTTACGCAGAATTCATCCAATTTTATTTGGGTCATCATAAAAATTGAGGAAGTAACTATGTTGGTTAACAACATCTTACAGCTGACTCACTTTATAACCATCATCTTTAGGATTTATGGACTGGAAGAAGATTTTGATTTCCCCACTGCAAGAATATCATTGAATCAACAGAAACAGACCTGTAAGAAAACACATGAAACACAGGAAGACAAACCTTGCTAAGGAAATGATGGCATCTGAAATAATTGCACATTGGATTCACTAGATGGCAGCACTTTACAGTTAACAAAGCAATATTGAACGGCCTGAAGACTTAGGCACTGAATATCAGTGAGAAATGTAATACAACACTGTATCAACAGTGTTGTATTACATAATAATAAGGATCTTTACAGTAAACTTCCCATAGAGGGAAAAACAGGGTTGTTACTAATAACATTAACAATATATCCATTCTATCCAGATGTAAAACAGTATGTTATTGCAGTTAGTGCGTATTTATAGTACCAAGGCATCTTACTGAAGCAGCTAAATATAATTCAGCTATTATTCATTTTATTGTTTAAATTTGTGCTTTTACTGTTATGATACTGTAATAGGGCTACCACACTTTAGTATGTCTATTTTTTAATATAATTTATTATATTGTAACATAATAGAGATATCAGCATGTCAGTACAGGAAAAGGTGAAGGTATGCAGTTATTAACATTGGCACCACATTTCATTTAGTCAAGTCGAGGTTCTGCATTTGTTTGAGTTTGCTGAAGTTTGCATATTAACCCTCCCTTAGGTTTGCTTTTACTTACATGTACTCATATTTTTGATTATTGATTTTACATTTCAGCTTTTTTCTTCTTTTTAAAGATGACTTGATACATTTTTTTCAGAGTTTTTGTATTTAAATGTATTTGCCAACCCCTGGTGTCTGGTGAAAGCACAGTATCTTCCCCCATTTACCTTTCCATTTGTCTTTATTATCACTTCTGTTTTGTACATTTTAGTATTTTTATTTTCTTCTTTTAGTCAGTTATTGTAACTGCTTTGTTCTTTTTCCTACTGGACAAAATAAAAGTCCGCTTTTATGTCTTATTGCTTGATTCCTAACACCTGGATAAAATAAGATAAGTTAAAATAACATTTTGATGGACATTATATTTATCTTTTCAGAACATTAATTTTAGTTTCTTCTAACTGAAATGAATTCAGATCATCTGAAGGAATATGTCATCCGCAGAGACTCAAACATACAAACTTAGCCTTACAAGGAGCGCTCTTTTGTTACTCACGTGTTAAATCTTATGACTCTGATTTATCACAGCTAGTCAATGACTACCCATACTGTTCACATGATGTCCATTACAATAAATGTAATCAAATTATGAGGGACAAATTAAGGGCATGCACATGTGAAATTAAGAGTGTGATCCTTCTAGTTCTCCTGCATGTGACACTAACCGTTTAATACCAGATTAGATAACTTTCAGGCACTACAGAAGCAATGAGCTCTCAGAGAGGGAAGCGGGATCAATGCACAAATTCATTCAGATTAGAAACCAGTTTATATTTAACTTATATTATAAAAGGCCATTTGTTGAACTGGTACATGTCATTTTGGGGGTAGCATGCAGCAGAACAATGATCTAAGCACCGTAGACAGCCTACAACAGAATAACTAAAAAATAGAAGAATCATCATGTCAATGTCCAGATCTCAACCTGACTGAAATGCTGTGGCAGGACCTCAAGAAAGCTGTGTGTATATGAATGCCAACAAACCCCAATCAACTGAAGCAACATGGGCTAAATAGAATCCTGTGAAAATGCTTTTTATCGCCATCTGTGACACATTTATCCACCTATTTTAGGGGGTTTGAGTTTAGCATTAGAAGACCACCTAAGATAAAAACCACACAGTTTAAAGTGGTCATGTCAGGATAAGGTTATGCCTAGGAAAGAAGTGGCTATTTTAATGTTATTGGTATTTTTTCCTTGAAGTCAATAATAAAAAAGCTTTATAAAAGTCTCACTGAATGCACAACAACATTTAGATTGGACTGACTGTTATGATGCTAAATGTATTTGAGATTTGCCCTTTGCTTTGCAATAAACAACCAATTTGACATGACAAGACAAACATAATGGACTTGCACCCATGTAGGATTATGACTTGAAAGTGAAATTCAGAGCAATTATGTAACACTTAAACTTTTGCAATCAATGCTCTGCAGTGTTAAAGTAGAAATACAAGTTGTTTCAAATTGCTGGTCTGACCTCGGCCTTTGAGTAGTAAGGAGAATGATTACACCCGAGTTGTTTTTATACAGACTGATATCTCTGGAATGCAAACTACTACCTTCTGTGAGGTTGTCACAAAGCTGGAGAAGCTGTAAAATCATACCCTTCCAGCACGAAGAAATGCAAGTTTAAGCTGCCTTTGCCAAATATTTCCATAAATGTTGCTTTGTGTTTGTGGTTTTTGCAGAAATGTGGATTGCACAACACTTGACATTATATTTCTTCATTTCCATTTAATACTTGTACAGCTGCTGTTATTGTATATATATTTATTTATATTTCTTCATACATTCTTATATATTTCTATACTGTGTATTTGTGTATTGTGTATTTTGTTGTACAGTTATTTTATTTTCAGCTTTAATTTATATATTTTATCTTATTCTTTCCCAGTTAAATTTACCCTTTTTAATTTTCATATTTATGGTAAATGGTAAATGGTAAATGGCCTGTATTTGTATAGCGCTTTTCTAGTCCCTAAGGACCCCAAAGCGCTTTACACAACCTGTCATCCACCCATTCACACACACATTCACACACTGGTGATGGCAAGCTACATTGTAGCCACAGCCACCCTGGGGCGCACTGACAGAGGCGAGGCTGCCGGACACTGGCGCCACCGGGCCCTCTGACCACCACCAGTAGGCAATGGGTGAAGTGTCTTGCCCAAGGACACAACGACCGAGACTGTCCAAGCCGGGGCTCGAACCGGCAACCTTCCGATTACAAGGCGAACTCCCAACTCTTGAGCCACGATCGATTTATTTCCTATCTTATTCATAGCCTTTTTTTTCTTTAGGCCACGAGCAGTTGTGTAAGCATTTCACTGCATATCGTACTGTGTATGACTGTGTATGTGGCAAATAAAATTTGAATTTGATTTGAATATGTTGCTCTCTTTGCAGAGCACGTTCACTCTAGCTGGTCCGACTAATTCTGAAATCCTCTTTGTGAACATGACGTGCTGATAGAAAGCAGGATTAACCCGTGCATAGAGAGCGGGCAAGACATAAAGAGAGCTCCATGAAGCACTCAGCAGGACAGTGCCACTCACTCACTCAACCTGTATTCAACGCTCAGGGCAATGACTGCTTTATCCCAGACATAAGTACAATATGGGGCTGTTACCGTGCTCTTCCATCATTTTTCCACTGCCCTCCTCTGTCATGACTGAAAACCTCCACTAAGATTTCGAAGACATGAGCACAACAGCCTCACCAAAACAAAGTGCAGTTCCTGGCATTTCCACAGCAACACCCTCTCACTGGGAGAATCTCCAAGGTGACGCCCTCTATTGACACGCCTAGAGGTGGCTGGAGCCTTTTTTGTAAGCAGGTGCATCCTGTTCACAGACAGATGGTGTAGACTGAGAAGGGTTTTTCTGTTATCTCTGTGGGAATACCTATGTGTAGCTTCATAACCTGACTGGAGAGCAGCATCAGGGTAAACAGAGCAGACAAAATGGAATTCAGATTAGATTATCAAGAAACAAATGAAGAATTTGCATTTGGAAGTCACTAACTTTTACGGAACTTGGGTGAAGACATTTATATAAATCGAGGGGTTTAAAGAAAGCAATCTTCTCTGTTTTGGCCTGCATGTTGCTTTCAGCTCTTGGATATCTTCTCTGATATTATTAAGTTGAATTTCAATGCAAGGATCTGTTATTCCAAGTCTGATCTTGGACAAACAATGGAGGGGTTTGGGCATGAGCACTTTCGAGAAGGAGAGAATGAGAGCCAGCAAGCGGACTATCGAAGATTTGTAGGGGACACTCAGCGCTCATGTAACAATGTTTCATCCCGGGAATTAAAACGTTACGTCCGGCAAAGCTCACACGGTCATGAAACTGCAGCTCAGCGATACAATGCCACACGGATCCAGGCTGGTTTAGGCCCAGAGAGGTAGGTGACTGGGATAAAAAAAAAACACCTTCAGGTATCAAACTAGACAGTATTTTGATTCAAGTACAGCCGCAATTTCTCAGCTGCAAGAGAAAATTTATGTCTTGCTGTTAGTTACCACTCTTGGTGATGTACGTTCAGCTCACTCTTACCAGCTGCAGCTTTGCAAGGTTACTTCATGTAAATTATCTTTGTGTACCTGGATCAATTTACATGTCCACACACACACTTTGCAAATGTGCTTGAGGTTAAATCATGCTTTCAATGTGCTGCATTCTTAGTAGTTTGGAGGCCATGCAGACAACAACACTGAGTTTATGGGCAGGCGCTAATACAATAAAAATGGCTTGTCATAGGTTGTCAAGTGCTATTTTTAACCTGGTCCTTCTGCCCCTTGTACCCACCCACACACTCACAACTCTTTGATGCACCGTCAAGGCAGGAGTGAGCAACATGCTGCAGGGAGGATAAACAAGGCTAAAGCAAGCGCTTAGAATAGCTACAGTGCATAAAGGAACCACTGACCCATATCTGCAACGACCCACATTTAATTTGACACACAACACAGAGAAGGAAAAGGATCCCCCCTGAGTCACCTTTGCAAACATATCTAGCAACTCTCGCCTTGGATTAACACAGAACAAAGAAGGACTGTCGATTTAAGGGCATAAAATGTGATTCTGAATATTGTCTGGTGATAATATCAGTCTCAAATATTTTGTGGATCAGAAACAACATCTATACAGTGGTGCTTTAAATTTTGTCAACCCTTTTCTCTAATTCTGCAAAAGTACACTCATCACAAAGGGAATGGTTTTGCAGAAAGTGGCCAAAGACTGTGCCCATCCTTCATGGTTGATATTTCTCAATAACTTATTTTTGTTAGTGTCATTGTCACTGCTGGTAGTAGTACTAGACACCCCTTTAGGCAACACAGGTCCTTCAGGATGGCACATCTATGCGTTCTGTTACAAGAAGGTTTGATTTGTCTCTCAGCACACTCTCAAGAGCGTGAAAGAGATACTGGGAGATGGGCTGTTTCACAAGAAGGGCTGGAAAGGGCCATCTGGTTCTTTGTGTGATCAAGAACAGAAAGAGCACTATCAGAGCTGCACAGTGCTGGGCTGTGAGCACAGGTGCCACTAAAGGACATCAGGACCTTATGGCATGCTTATATATGTCTGTTTCTGACAGTTTGGTCAGAAAAATGTATGAGTAGCTTTCTGGAGGTTCTTGCTTAGTTCCTCTTCAAACAAAGCAGCAGATAGAGTTTGTGTGATGGCTCAACTCCTTGCAAGGAAAACATTCTTGTGACAATATGTAGAGGCTCCACTTACCACTTCATGCTATTAGTGCTGACAGAGATACGGGTAAAAAGCAAAACTAAAAAAAAACAAAACTCAGGAGGGATAAGCAGAGAGCAATGGTGTGTGGAAATCACCTGCAAAACCACTCTGTTTTGGAGGGTTGTCTTGTTGTTGCCTCTCCAGTGTACCTGCAACATTCACTTGCACCAAAGCAGATGAAATTCACAGTGGTTTATGCTGATCTCCAGAATCTCAACTAACTTTGTGTTATAGTGTGAAATCAATAATGCAAATCTAGAGTAAAGTGTTCTCAGTCAATATGATAATATGGTGTGATGGATCAGAATGGGAAGAGTCCACCATCAGGACAGCACTGAACAACAATAGTGTGCATGAGAGGGCTTCAAAGAGAAAGTAACTGCCCCCTAAAACAAACACCGCAGTTTGCTAAAGATAAAATGGACAAGCCAGATAGCTATCAGAGTAATGCTGTGTGAATGGATGAGCTCTGCATGTTGTCATAGAAGGAACAAAGAATGTAGAGGCATCTGGACTGAATCTCCAACCCGGTGTTCTAAAAAGTCCCCCACTCAGATAAGAACGAAGGTCATTTTTTGGAACAGGCACGCCAAAATCCCTATCTCGAGTCAACAGAAATGCTTAGGGTGGTACCTAAAGCGAGCTGGTTAAGGCAACACCAAACATCTGGGAGCTGAAGCTATTCTGTACAGAGCTATGGGGAGAAATTCATTTAATTCACGTGCAGACTAATCAACAGTTAGTTGCAAACATTTGGTTGTAGCTATTGTTTCACAAGCAAGTCACGTGTAAGAAATTTTCTTTTAGCGCTCATTAGGCTTTTTTCATCTAGTTTGATGAAGGTTTAGGTCATATTTGCAAAGCAATAAAGACCTTTTAACAAGCTTCACAAAATATGTAAGAAATGCTGTTAGCAAACATGCTGTTATGTTACATGGACATTTGTGTTGAATGTAAAAGTTTAAAGTGAACAAAGCATTAACTTCTGACACAGTTCAGCCACCCTGTTATTGATAATTAGCCATTTATTTGGCTGTGAGGTGCATGAATGAACAACTCAGCCTGTTTCCTGAAAGTCTGGAATATATCTAATAATAAACTGGAACATACTTGACGTTGGTGAAGTCATCCATGTGAAAAACCTGTTTTGACTGTGCCAGACCTGGTTTGGGTTATTGTTAAAGAGCCTAATTCTTTCCTTCCAGAGAATACAAGACACCCACCATCATATATATAATTGGATGAAAGTAATGCCATGCAAAACATTTATGCTCCTGGCAATACACTGTCAAATTGTCAAGAAGTGTATGGATGCATACACTGACTGTATGGAGTAGTTTGATGTTCCTTATAATTTCAGTTCAGTATAAGTGGGTGTGTACTGAACAGTTTTAGGAACTATTTGGCATCCTTAAAATAGACATCCCTACTTCCGTTGTAGTTGAACTTGCTTGATTTGTTAGAAATCAAAACAGCTATAGATATGTTTTCTACTAGTAAGCTGTTTTCTATGTTTACTTTTAATGACTATGTCACATAGAGTAAGGTATTTTTTTCAGTGGTAGAATTTTGCATTCTTAATAAAAAAAATTGTAAGTAAATAACAAAAGATCACAACATTTGTTCAATAAAGGTCCTTTCCTTAAGTCAGCATAGCCAGCCTGAGTTACAGTGTGTTAAAGTATTCAAATGTTCAAATGTTATCATGTGAATGAAATGTGGTTAGTGCTGGCCTTTCATTGCACTTAATCCTGTTAAGAACCTTTGCATGTGACCAAATTTTAAATTCAAGGCAATGTTTCACTAGGTTAAGGATATTAAGCCTTAAAAGTCTCATCTGTATTTCAACCTGATATGATGAAAGAACTGTCTATGGTCACCTGATTTCCACTTTCACTTTGTTAAAGTTCATGCTCACGCACTATGTAGGATCAATCACCATTCAGGCTTCTGCCTTATTCTACCAAGCTTGTATTTACACCAATATCCTATATTTAGTAGTAACACATGAGGATGACTTACACATAGACTATAGTTTGCTAATTACACACAATTAGAGATTTTACCAACAATACAAAAAAGGGGCTATTTTTAAGCGAAAGAAAAACTGCCAGTGTTTAAAGCTGAATATAAAGATTGCCTGGTTATTACTGTGATTTGTCACTATGCTGTGGGCAGGCTGACAAAATGTTAGTGATAAAACTAGTCTGGCTGCACATCCGTGTAGTAAACGTTTCACCTGAGCCCGTGTTGCTACTTTGATTCCAGATATTGTTCCTGATTTCAGGGTCACAGGAAGCACAGGGTTAAACTTGCCTGAAGGGGAGAGGGGATGTGACGCTGCTGCTAATATATAACACCAACACGCACTGTCTGAAGACAGCGATAGGCAATCACTTCTTGACTGGCTTCATCGCTGACGTTTACATCTTGGAGCCACAAAAGACTGCTGTTTTTCTTTTATTTTTTTGGCTAAAAAAATCCAGTTTGTCTTTCGAGGTAACGGGAACAAACTGCTTTCTGTTTTAATTGCTCTCAGTCTACAGCTGGAAAGTTACCTCCTTTTTGGCCAGCGTGGGCATCCGCTCAATGAGGTAGCTAGCTAACCGTAATCTGCAAAAGATGTTGAGTTTACCATAGCAGAAAAGATGCGTAGTTTAAATTGCTTTCGCTTACCGGTTTTAAAGATATAAGAAGCTTGTTTTAGAGTGTCGGGAGCCTTGTTTTTTTTCTCCCACAAGCGAAGCTAAAATAAGAGAATAGCTAATGCTAAATGCTAATGGTTTCTCCCACATGTCTGCATGTATAGTTCAGCATATAACCAGGATGCAGTGCGTGAAAACTTTGGGATGTGTGTTTTTGTTTTTGTTTTTATAAAATAACTGTTTTATTGTGAGCAGGATGTTTATTTTATTCGTGCAGGCATTACTCTTAAGGGGGCAATATGAATATCCACGAGAGTATCTAAAACTGAATCTGACGCTATTGGGGAAAACATTATTTGTGTTAAACATTAACGACTGATTGACTTGGCCAGCTTATCAGTTAATTTATTACTTATAATTACTGCTTAGTGTTTAGTACAAGTACAAGGTGGTTGTTAAAACACTCGTGGTGATAAGGCTTTCAGTCCTACGTATACTGGTAATGGTTTACTATTACTTTAGGTTAATAGCTTGACTCGACAGACTGACTTCATTGAGTGATTATGTATTTTTGAACAGCTAAATTATAACGGTGTTACTCACATAATTTTAATATTATTAGACGCAATGAACTTGGTTCAAGTAGAAGTAAACAAACTAAACTTTACGTTTCTGGAAATGCTAGATAAGGTCTTGCAACCTTTATGCAACCACATGCTTTAGGAAAATGCAACATATGCCACTGAACGCAGCACCAAACTCGCTCAAAAAGTCTTCTGAAATATCACCGATCGCCTGATATACCAGAGGGTTTATTCAATATAGAAATGGACCAAAATATTTACCAAGTATTAGAATGCGTTTTTTTCCCGACGTGGTTTAAATACTCAAACGCCAACCTTGGGAGCAAGGTTCACCTGTTAGCTAACGTTTGCTAAGCCTAAATGAGTAGTGATTTGAAACCCAAGGTAATTCATAAGCATGTGAGCTAAGTGTTGCTAAAATGTAATAATCCGTTATAGCTTCTGGAAAATGAGCGATGTGGAGGGTCCTCGATAGCATGGATAAGGTTACACGGATGATGCATAGTCGCATCTCTGTATAAACAAAGGCAGGTCTGACTGCCATGTTTTTGCTAACTCCCGGCGTGCAGCGCAAGCAGCTAATGTTTGCTAGCTGATAATGCAATGTGGGTCACTAGGGGAGTAAACGTTATCGTGCAAGTGTAGATGACACGGCGTTTTGAGGTTACCGTGTTCTTCTGACATTTAATCCAAATCTTTTAACTCTACTGTTTTGCATTTCATTCCTTGAAAATCGAAAGCATGCATGATTGGCTAATATGGAATGGTGCAGTTATATGTTAGTGGGTCACCCGGCCATGGTTTCCTTCACACGCGATGGTGTGGAGAGTAGTGCACCGTTATCTGCCTCGTGTGCGGTTTGTTTGGCATTAGATTAGTTATTAAATAATAACGTGTTTAATGTTTTTATTACACATCTCCCTTCAGCAGAGACTCGATTTTTATTTTAGTTTAGTGAGTTGTGGCTAAGCTGTGGTATTTACCCGTAGAAGTGTTGTGGGTTTCCGAGTGTCCCCTGTTTTGGGTTTAAAAGGTGATCTCATCTTAAGTACCACCAGCAAGGTTGCAAGTTTAGTACAGGATTATTTATGGGGGAAGCACCTGTCACGCAGGCGCACTGACCCCAGGCTGGCTGGGGATGTTGATGTTGCCATGGTTATACCTTCCTGTGAGAAGGTCACCCACCAAAGCTCTGCCTGCACAGTGGCTGTGCAGTCTTCCTGCAGAGCGTCATTACACTGTCTGTAGATGAACATCCTAATGTTGAGTGTTGGCGTTAAAACAGCTGATTGAAGTGGCTTTGTTTTGGTCATTTGACAGCATGGCAGATTACCTAATAAGTGGTGGCACAGGCTACATTCCCGATGATGGGCTCTCGGCACAGCAGCTCTTCTCCACTGGAGGTGGTCTAACATACAAGTAAGTTTCCCTTCATTGCAAAGTTTTTGTTTCGTTTGGTTTTCTTGAAAATGTTTTCATTAATTTCAAAGTAAGGTTTCCTCATTTAAAAAAAGGAAAAAAAACCAACCTTTTTGCGAAGTTGTGGGTGGAGTGTAAGCACCAGTGCTTTGTAATGGCCAACACGTTTTGAACCGGCAGATCTGACCAACAGTGTGTTGTCTCCGATGGTCAAACGGCTGAAGAGCTATGCTCTAAAGGAGATGGGTTGACTTACAAGTGAGTAAAAGAAAAAAACAGTCACCTTCAAACTGAAAATCCTTGATCTATCTAAATAGTGAATTCATAGAGGAGAAGCAAATAATTGTTCTTCTACAGCAACTTTATTTTGACTGCAACAAACTATATCAAAAATCCCATGAACCGCGGCGCATGAAGGCAGATGGTAGATATAAGGCTTTGTGAAATTCTTAACTTGATTTGGGTCATGGGAATGAAAATTGCTTTCACGGGACATCGCTGTTTTATTAACTTCAACTAATCATCAAAGTATGTGACCTCTCCTGTAAATGCAGAAAGCATGATGGAGCAGCTTGTGCTCTTTAGCATGAATACTTTTGATAAAAGCACTCATTTCTGACCTCTTGCAATTCTTGCACTCCTCTGCTTGACATTCTGATGACATGCTGTATAGACACGCACATGCTGGATTTTGTGTAGACTTATTTTCCTTCATTAACTCTTGTAAATAGCCTTTTATTTTCATAACCATAAATGAACAAAGCAAGCTAAGTTGTAGTGGTTGTTTGGCACTAAACAACCAATTTAATCTTGCCTGCATTCATAAGTTCCCTATAGTGCGTCACGTGTGGAGGGAAAGGTTGCAAACGTGACTGCCTGAATTGATATCATGTGAATTTCAGGGGTAATTGATAAGAATGAAATTCAGATCAGTTTCTCGACCTCCTAATTAACGCAATGCAGATAGCTGACTCAGCATATATAGTCCACCTAAAAATTATTTTTTTATTTTTTTATTATATGAATGAAAAAAATATTTGATTACAAACTTTTTTTTTTCTTGGAGGAAATAGTCAAACAGGGAAACTGATACACAGTTGCAGGAAGATAGAATCAGATTTCTGTGAGTGGCAGCTTCCTGCTATACCAGATGCAGCAACCTTGTTCTGAATGCAACGTGTCAACATTTTGCTCCAATCAAGTCTACTTTCACACCTTTTCTTCCTGTAATGGCCCTCAAAGTATCAGTGCACGACTGCCTGTATACCGACTGTCTGTTCAAGGCAGTGTTAAGAGCACACAAATGAGTTTTAGATGCCGACACTGTTCAGTACATCTACAGGTTCCTTCCTGTACATGTCTCTGTTCTAATGCAGCTTTCTGACACAAACAGGGTATTTACTGTGGTTGCATATGAGGTCACTGCCATCCACACAAAGCTACAGGCTTTAATTAACCCGTTTAATTCAAGCTATATAAATAAATGTGTGAACTTTTGAGACTTGGAGCCGAGTGTACACTTTCAAAATCATTTTAAATGTTAAAGCTGGTAAGGAGAACTTGCATGGCAGCATTCTCCTAGAACCTGATAATGGAGTGGGGTCACACTTAGCCAAAGTTACCTCAGGCTAAGGATGGAATATTTTAAGCATGACATTATGATCTTTAGGTAGTAATGAAATGTTTCTTTGGTAGTCAGTTTTAATAAAGGGAGGTGACTCTGATACAGAGATCTAACCTGTACCAATTAACTTTAATAATAGGATTGTAGGGTGTGGGCACATAGTGCTGTACAAACCTTGATACCTTCAGAGCTTCGTTTCTGTGCTTTGTCTTTCAAAATCAGTGTCAGTTTTACCCTCAACCAAGCTCTGAAATCTAACTAAAACCAAAATAATATTAATAATAATAATACAGTGCGGCTAAAACCTGTGATAATACACACAACTATACAACTTCAGTGCCAGGGAAAAAGCTGACAGGTGAAGGCCTGTTGTGGCCTTTGGTTTTACTTTGAAACCATTAGCATGGTAGATTTGTCTACATTTAACATTCAAATGCAACCTGTGCGATATGGCCGAGCCAGTGTTTTCTTTAGGAGTCAAAGCCAACACGGCAATCAGGTTACTGCTGACTTGGGGTCAGCAGTAAGCAGACAGTATAGTCTGTGTGCTGCAGCTCCGGTTTGTGGCTTCTGCTAAATGACAGCAGATGTTCCCTGGACATTTTGCTTGTCCCGTTTTGCGCTTTAAAGTGAGGGTAGGCAAAGCCTTCTACCAGATTTCTCTACTCCTGTTCTCAGTTAGACCCGCTTTATGTTTGTGTACTGTTACCTCATAGTTTCCTCCAACATTCACTAGATGTATAAAGCTTCACTTATTCCTCCTTATTTCCATTTGTCCCCTGCTTTCCCCCCCCCCCCCCCCCCCCCTCTCTCTCTTACATAAACATCTCAAAAAACTCACAAAATACATACAGACTCGAGCTGAAAAATAAACACATCATTCCCACGTCTGGCGCTCGCTGCTTCACTCATCTTTCTGCCTCTTATTGTGTTTATACAGGCCAGGAGCTGAAAAGAGGTCAACTGTAGCTTTTTACCAAGTAGAGGGCGCACCCAGCTGCACTTAGTGTCTGTACTCAGCCGCAATGCCATTTTGTAATTTTCTGGGAACCACGATGTGGTGCAAGAGCGTCCAAAAATGGGTTGTTGTCCTTGGTTAAAATATTACACAGAAGGAGAGGAGTGACTCTGTAGGAAAGTGACTTAAAAAAATTATTACAAGGCCTTGATTACAATCAGAAGTCTATTCACATTCTTTGATAATCTAAATAGTTCTGTTATCACTACAGATCAAAAACTGTAGTACTTTTATTAGTTTGTTCAGTACACCCCATTTGCTTTGAGATACTCCTCAAAGTTGTGAAGTCCTTTAATTCATCTGGTTTTCTTAGGCATGCCATTACAAGCTTTCACTGAAACATATAGAACACCATCTCCTGGAATATTTCTGAGGTGTTGTTGGAGTTTTAGACCTCACAATACTGCTAAACTGCTGCTATTAGCCCCTTACTTTGCACTTTGCTTATGTCTTTCAGCGATTTCCTGATTTTACCTGGCTTCATCGACTTTACCTCTGACGAAGTGGTGAGTAGCGTACACATGTGAACAAGGAATCTGAGTCATATTTTTGCCCTTTTAAAACAGTCTGCATCTTTTGGTCTCTTTCTGCTTTGCTATTTTTTATTTTATTTTTTTTTCCCCCCCCAATGTGGTCACCCACTGGCTGCTCCCTCACCCTTGTGGTCACATTTGTGTCCGGTTAGTTACTCATCTTGCAGCAGGCAAAAGGGGGGTTAATCTCAGGGCTTTACGGGAAATCCCTCTCCTCTGCTTCGTCTATCTGAAGGTTTAATTTAGTTTTAATCTCTTTCTGTTTCCTTACGAGTTAGAGTGCTTTCTTTACTATGGGACATATTTGCCTGGCTGCCATATTATGTTCTAGTTGTTTTCTCCACAGTCTTGGTCTGCCCTAGTTTTTCTCAGGATAGTGAACCTATTCATGCTTAAATAACACAAATGCTTGCACAACCTTGAATAGTGAATAAGTCTAAATACTTTGAGGCATAGAAGCATGAAGTAGTGCTGTGTGTTGAGGGTGGTGGTGTTTTGGGACATTGTTTGCAGTCATGGTCTTCCTCACATTCTTTAATACCTCACAGTAGAATTTAGCAGGTTGGTGCAGTTGTGTGCTCTGGCAAAGTGGCGTTAGGCATTTTCTCTGGCCTTCACCATAAACCTCTAAAGAAAACGCTGCAAGCACCCACTATAGTTTATGTCTACATCAGATACTGTTGAGCCACTTCCCTGGTTTCCCATGTTAGTGGAATGTTATTATTTTCACTCTGCCAGTGGATTGAAACGAAATGTGCTGGTTGTTTTGGGAATCGGCGATAAGTAAAAGTAAACCTGGTCGTTGGACACTGTAGTGTGGCTCATCCCTATTTTTTTCCAGACAGTGTCATGTTTCTTTCCCTGGTAGGAACAACAGTTGCAGTATGTTACGTCAGTGTCTTTTAATTTGGAGGCATTTCATATCTAATATGAACTAAATCTAAAGCTTAAAATATTTTTTTTAAGCTTAAAATTGGCTCCATTGTTTTCCCGTTTTTATAAAAGTTTGCTTGTATTAACCTTGTTGTGTCCTTCTGGTGTCTGATCTGAAGGATATTTACAGTGAAGTCCTTCATGGCTATCTAGTTCATTCTGCCCCCTGGTGGACCAAATGCAAAATATTCAATCCCCTATTTTTTTGTCTTTCAGGACCTGACATCAGCACTGACTAGGAAGATTACATTGAAAACCCCTCTCATTTCCTCCCCCATGGACACTGTGACAGAGTCGGCCATGGCAATAGCTATGGCGGTAAGAAACTGGTATCTTAAGGACACCGTTTTTTATTTTTTTATTTTTTCTGTAACTGTTTAATCAAAAAGCACACATCTCATTCTTTCTTTCTTTCTTTTTTCTTTTAAAAAATTTGGTAGCTAATGGGAGGCATTGGCATTATTCACCACAACTGCACACCAGAATTCCAAGCCAACGAGGTCCGCAAGGTCAAGGTAAACTGTGACTGCATACAAATATTTATACACATTAAAGGGTGCTAACTAGAGCAGGGCAATATGGCCAAAAATATTTATCACGATATATATATATATTTGAAAATTTGCGATAACGATATAACTGACGCGAGACAAAATACAACTCCACAACTTCACTAGCGCAAAAAAAACACGATCCATTTATTTTCACTTAAACAAGCAGCTGTTTTTTTTTTTTTTTTTTTTTTTTTTATGCGCATTACAGCTATATAAAAATTATCCACTGAAGTTAAAAAGAGGTGCTTTGCAACATTAAACTGCAGTGTGCCAAATATAAAGTCAAATACGTATTTTTCGGACCATAAGGTGCACGGGATTATAAGGCACATTAAGCGAAACAAAGCAGTCGGATAAATCAAACTTTATTCAACTCATACTTCTTGCTTCCTCCACTTCTGTACCATTGATTCATTAATGCTGTATTCTATCACAGCTGCTCTATTCCTGTGTTGTTGCAGTATATTAATGACTATTAGTTTCCTGTCTTCATTTATTTTACAAGTGATAGCAGAGCTGTACGTTTGAATGTTTTCAGAAATCTCTGTCAGAACATGCTATATCATGCTTAGGTAACTAGCAAAACTAGCGAGCTAACTTCCGCTAACGTCCTGCTAACTTCTAACTCCGTTAAGTGTAATAAATTCTGTTCTCATGGATGCCTGGATGTTAAACTTAATAGACATTCATACACCTGGTAAAGCAGCAATGCTGATAGTTTTATTAAAGATGAAAGAATTTAGACCGTTTTTAACTCTCAGTGATGCTGCAGTGTTCGTTTGACTTTGGGACCTGAATCGGACGGAGTTTAGGACCCAGATTACTCCCAGATTTACGAGCGCCTTAGTCCGACAAATAATAAAGACGGCTGCTTGCATGTTCTACAACAAAATGTGCTTTGTTGTGTATCTGACGGACAAACGCCAAACCAGTTCCACATCACTGAAGTGGCACCACTTTTACAAACTAATTCTGGTTCATCCGTTTCACTCAACAATCCGCTTTCTCCTTTCTCATTCTCCGTTGCCGCCATGCTTTTTCGGCCATGTGCGTATGAAAACAAAGGCACTGCGCATGCGCGCGTTACCCATAATATATCGCGATATTTTAATTTCTTATCGTTGCCTAACATTGTACCGGTATTACTGTGAACGGTATAATATGGCCCAGCCCTAGTGCTAACCTTTACCTCAACCAACATAATTCAGCTGTTGTGTGATTCATGCTCTTGACTTTTCTTGTTATGGTGTCCCATCTTGTCCCTATATAGGCTATGGTAATGGCGTCACATGTGTGTTATATTTGTGTGTGTGTGTGTGTTACTTACTGTTTTTCTGCTGCTTCTGCTCATGATTTTTTTTTTTTTTTTTGTGTGTAGTGTGTTTTGGCTTTTGCTGTTTTTTTTTTGCCACATTACCGATGTACAGTGGAAAATAATTGTTTTGGTTTCTGTTGGCTTCCAGAGGTTCGAACAGGGTTTTATTACAGACCCAGTTGTTATGAGTCCACGCCACACAGTCGGGGATGTGTTTGAGGCCAAAGTTAGACATGGTTTCTCTGGTATTCCTGTCACAGAGACAGGAAAAATGGGCAGCAAACTGGTGGGTATTGTCACCTCCAGAGATATCGACTTCCTCTCTGAGAAAGACCGTGGCAAGCCTTTGGAGGAGGTGTGTGTTCTTGTTGCTTTTAAGAAACTCTGTCATTTATAAAAACTTGGCTTTACCCGATTATTTTTACACTGACCCCGTCTTCTCTCAGGCTATGACTAAGAGGGAGGAGTTGGTAGTGGCTCCTGCTGGTGTTACACTAAAAGAAGCCAATGATATTCTGCAGCGCAGCAAAAAAGGTGAATTTAAAGAAAAAGTATTTGTGTAATAGATGTTGGACTTCTTTTTGGTTATTGTATTTTAATAGCCCGACTTTCTGTGTAACCAGGCAAGCTTCCCATTGTAAATGATAACGATGAACTGGTGGCCATTATTGCCAGAACGGATCTAAAGAAGAACCGGGAGTACCCCCTCGCCTCCAAAGACTCACGCAAACAGCTTCTCTGTGGTGCTGCTATCGGAACCAGGGAGGACGACAAATACAGACTGGACCTGCTGGTGCAAGCTGGAGTTGATGTCGTTGTACTGGTTGGTGCTTTTTAAAAAGTTAGATTGTGGTCGGTGCTTTAATAATGATCGGTCACATCACAGATACTTGGATGTATTGTAGAGAAGATAAATCTTTATTGTCATTACACAGTCATAAAAACTGTCCCCCATCGGCACTACTTAGAAGATTCATTTCAAATTTTAGAGCAGCTTGTAGCTAAATGGCAGCCACTGTCAGTCACATGGCTAATTTCTATAATTTTCTCATTAAGAAATATTTCAGATTATATTTTAATAGTTTTGGAAATAATTTTAAGGTTTGTTTGTTTTTGTTTTTCTTACATTATTGTATAACTAAAACATATTTTAGAATTCATAAAAAAACAGTACTATAAACAGCGCAATAAGACATCTAAATAATTAGCCTTGAAAAGGAAAAAAAAACTACTGTAGTAAACTTAAAAAAACTGATTTTTAATTGGAGATACTAACATTAAGAAAGTATTAAAACAGGGCACTTACATTGAAAGGGATTGAACTGGTCATTGACTGCATTTTAAAACTGACACTACAGAGTGCTACACAGAAATTTAGATGCAATATGAGATTATGGGGTTTTATTTTAACATTGACATCATTTTTAAAATGCTAAGGGGTCTGTCGGTGATTCTAGTGTTAAATGGCGACAGGATGTGAAACCTGTGTCATGTTTTGGTTTCACTGAAGAGCCTAGCAGTGTGGCTGTTGTTAATATTGGCCATATAATGGCAGGTCTGAAGCGCCTTGAGGCGACTTTTGTTGTGATTTGGCGCTATATAAATAAAATTGAATTGAATAGATCTCGAAAAAGAGTACAGGCACTATTCATGCATGATGAGAAACTGTCAGACTCCGTGTAGAACACTCTACTGTAACTAAACACAACTAAATGGAATGGGTACCACCTTGTGGTGCGATTCAGTATTGCAGGTAAATTACAAACTGATGTTATAGCCCAAATCATACTTCCTGTTGCTGTGTTTTGTTTTAAAATTGTAGCTTAAATGTTAATTATTACAGAGTAAAATTCTCAAGGAGATATGTGACTAAGTCCACAAATAAATCCATGGATCCGTGGGGTCTGCCCCCTAGGGGTGCAGAGCCATTGTAATGGGGGGGCGGTATGAAAAGGGGGGGGGGGAAACAACAACACTTGGACACTGCTAGCACGGGGCACCTACACAAACGCAAAGCAGGAGATGAAGTATAGCTGAATATGTTTCCAAACCAACTTCATTCTAAGCCAAGGACTAGAAAATATGGTGAAGCATATCTTCCCTTTGGCTTCACCTGCACAAGTGCCAAGGTAGGTCTCCCTTGCATAGTTGGTTTTCCCTTCGTTGGGAGCAGGCGTTGGGCTCTTCAAATCACACAGTATCCCACATTCTTGATTTTTAGTTCACAAACACTTGTTGTAATGACTAACTACTCCTGACATTTTGGAGATGATAGCTCTTTATTCAGTAAAGTTACAGCGGGATACAAATAACATCAGGCTGATCCTGCCGCAATTTGTTCCCCCTGTCTAAATCACGGACAAACAGTATCCCACAGTTGTTTATATTTTTAAACCCATTTTTTTTGAAAAATGTATTGATAGCAATGTTGAATATTATTAAACAGGAAAAAAACAACCACATGTAAAAAAACACACGGCGACGCCATTCAAATGTCTGTTTTGACTTATTAGGTGTTACTGTATTTTATGGTCTAAACTTATTATGTTTAAACCATAAATATTTTTTTATATATATTTTCTTTTTTTTCTTTCTTTTTTTTTTTTTTTAGGACTCCTCGCAAGGCAACTCGGTGTATCAGATCAACATGATAAACTATATTAAGCAGAAGTATCAAGAATTACAAGTGGTGGGAGGAAATGGTGAGTCTGTTGGTGTGGGGAGTGAGTATTATGTGGCTGTCCCTTTATGAAAAGTAACATAAATGACAACAAAATAAACAGATATATATTTTTTTGCACACATTTCTTGACAGTTTTCACTTTTCCACCTTTCCTACAGTGGTCACAGCAGCCCAGGCCAAAAATCTGATTGATGCCGGCGTGGATGCTCTGAGAGTCGGCATGGGCTGCGGCTCCATCTGCATCACACAAGAAGGTATTCAGTGTGGAAACCGTGATATGATGATAGAACTTAAGTGTAGTGATAAGTATTTATAAAAAATTATGCAGATCCTTTTTCCGGCAATGAGCTTTGCTAAGATGAAAAGGCCATCAGTTGCTAGTGGAAACTAATACCCTGAGACCACTCCTAGTTGTCATGGTGATTTTCCGAGGCCTCTGTTCTGTGTTGCCATGGGGACCGGTCTCATGTTCAGACTAGGTCATGTTTATACTAAAACAAACAAACGAACAAAAACAGTGTTTTTAAAACAACATGGCAGTCACGTTTGATGTGTTTTCTACTTTCTAGTCATGGCATGTGGACGACCCCAGGGGACCTCTGTGTACAAGGTGGCAGAGTATGCTAGGCGTTTCGGTGTGCCAGTCATCGCTGACGGTGGCATTCAAACTGTGGGCCATGTGGTGAAGGCTTTAGCTCTCGGTGCATCAACTGGTGAGGTTTAAGAGATGGCGACGTGCAGTTTGTTCAAGCTAATATTTCATATAGGTCTTTAGAAATGTCTGATTTCTATACAGTGGAGCTGTCTTTCACAAGAAATTTGCTCTCACTCCAGTTATGATGGGCTCCTTGCTAGCAGCCACAACTGAGGCTCCTGGAGAGTACTTCTTTGCAGACGGTGTGCGACTGAAAAAGTATCGTGGTATGGGCTCCCTGGATGCAATGGAGAAAAGCACAAGCAGTCAGAAACGCTATTTTAGGTATGTGTGAGGTTATTAAAAGCTACAGCTATTGTAATATTGTGAACCACTGGGATGTATATGAATTTGGTGATATGTTGTCCACAGTGAGGGTGACAAAGTGAAAGTAGCCCAGGGTGTGTCGGGCTCAGTCCAGGACAAGGGTTCCATTCACAAGTTTGTACCATACCTGATAGCAGGAATCCAACATGGGTGCCAAGATATTGGGGCAAAGAGTCTTTCCGTCCTTCGGTGAGTTGTGTGTGTGTTTTTTAAGGTTATGAGATGCTTTTATAAGCAGTATGTATGATGGTGCTTGTATGTTTTATACAGTTCCATGATGTACTCTGGAGAGTTGAAGTTTGAGAAGCGCACCTTATCTGCACAGGTGGAGGGTGGTGTTCATGGTCTCCACTCGTAAGTGCAAAAACCCACAAAAGAATGTCTTTTCTTTTAGTCATATTTTAGCTACTTGATATAAACAGTGTAGAGTGTAGACTGTATATAAAAGATGGGCAGCCGTTTCTTAATCTTTCTGGTTTCTAAAGAGCAGCAAACAGAAAAAAATCAGAGTAGAAGTCGATAAGAAACTGCTGCTGCTGCCTGCCTGATGTTACCTCAGAAAAGATGAGTTTCATTTTGTAATATGTGAGCTCACTGAGAGAAATGGAGGGTAAAGCATGATACGCGGTAGCACAGACAGTGCCCATGCATCCTTTCATGAACTAGCTGATTTGGTGTTTCTTTGCCTCCACAGATTTGAGAAGAGGCTTTACTGAACAGGGGTGTGACATGTGGATCACCCAGTGCACAGGACCTTCCCAATCTTACAGTGACCAAATGTTATATCGCTACTTCTGCTAGAACACATGCCGCCAACTACACCCCCTCTGCAGCATCATATTCACTGTTGCTCTTTCTGATCTTACCCGGCTGGTCTAGAGGGAGGGGGGGAAAAGAAGGGGGAGGAGGGGCATCGCAGCGAAGTGTGAATTTTCAAACTGACACCTAACTCTCTGAACACCTTGGATTTTGCACTTAAGAAGCAGAGCATCAGGGTCTTTGGAAAAACACACACACCTGTATCACAGCTATACAGCCCGATCCCAGTTATATGTGCGTGTCGATGGCAGTGAGAGAACAAAGGGGTTGAATTAAGAATAGTGTGCTTGAATGTGTGATATAGTTTTGTGTATGTGTGTGTGTGTGGGGACAGACAAAGTGAAGGTGCGCTATGTTTATTTGTCCTGTTTCTGTTAGTGAGCTGACAACAGTCATTGTGCGCAGGTCCCATCAGCATCCTTTTTTTTGTCTTTATTTCTTAATTTCCCCCTGATGTTTACCTGCGAGTTGCCTCAAACATCCCATTTTGGAACCAGAATAATACACACATGCAAACAACAAGAGAAACACTTCTGCTCTATTTGTGCAGCGTGGCAGTCGATCACGGCAAACATCATTACAGGTATGCGCTGCACGAAGAGTAGCCGCTTATAGTTGAGCATTCATTCACTCGGTGTATCGTGCAGTCAGAAATACACGGCCATGGTAGTCATCTGGTCAAGTTTGTCTCCTCCAGTGTCAACAGTAGATGGAGGTCAGACCTGCAACCTTTTTATCTTCGTGAATATTCATTTACCCCTTAGACATACTGAGCCGAATAACCAGTGTCCCATCTCGATGTGTAGTGTTCATGTGTTGAGCAAGGAGAGGACCAAAATCCGAAGATCAGGTATATTTAAAGGAGAAAAAAAACAATAAAAATGTGTCAATCAAAAATAGTTGAGTTTTTTTGCCCGTACTTTGAATACTTTTAGATATATTAAAAACAACAAAAGCTTTATATTAAACCTGTATAGTCTCGGGGAGGGGGGCTTTGAAATGAGCATGAAGAGTTTTTGATATGCATGTTTCTTTTTTCACTAAGCCAAACATGGCCGTATTTATATTCTGCGTTAATTGCATACATACTGCCAAGTGTATTTACACTTCGTTTGACACTTCTTTTATAAGTTAAAAACCAAAATTGGTGCAACAAGTTGCTTCTCACTTGTTTGTTCCTGCTCTTTTCACGTCGTGGCATAGTTTCTCGGAGTCTTAAAGTGTCTTTTCACTGGAGACATGCCTTGAAACGGGGGTGGGTAACAGCTGTAAGACGGCTATGTGAAAATGCATTGAAATGCATAATGTTACAGACCTTCTTGACTCCATTTCTTGCTTTGAAACAGTCTCATTGTTTGTTTTTATCGTTAAGCTTATGTAGGAGTAGGTTTATTTTCTAACATTTTCATACAAAGTTATGTTTTTGTTTTTTGTGGCCCAGAGTGTAAGCAAGAATTGTTTTCCTAACTGGCTAATGTATTACACCCTGCGCAGGGTTCACTTGACTAACATGATCTTGCAGCTGGGCTGAATTGCAAAAAGTACATTAAAATATATGGAGACTTGTATACCTGTAGTTGGAAATGACTGCTGCTTGTTTTCAGTTTCCCCACCTAAAGTTGTAATTCAGGTTTTTAAAACGTCTTAAGTTGTCAAGTACAGAGTCCTGTTGGTCCATCTAAAAAGGCACAAATACAGTTATTTGAAGTAGTTTTTTTTTGTTTGTTTGTTTGTTTTTTGCCTTATCAGCCTCACAAGCGTTGCCAAAACACAGCGGTTGCTTATGCAACTTGCAATCTAAATGACAAGATAACTGCAATTTAATTTTTTTTAATTTTAATTTTTTTAGATGGACTAAAAAGACTTTGTATGTAGTAAATCGTTTAGGGGAATTTGAGGACTGTTGTGTCAGAACATGTTTACAGTAAAACACTCGACAGAGGAACGTTGCTTTTGCTGTTCATCAAAGTAAAAAGAATAAATGAATAAAACCATGTATGGGCTGTTGTCTTTTTGTATGAACCAAGTTATTTGTTTCAAGATATAAAAGAAGCAAACTTACTATAAAAACAAATCTTTATTAAACAATATGTTGACAAAGTTATAGATAACATAAATAAGTTAGTAAGCTGGTCATTAATATGCTGTCTGGATTGTTTATATAGAAGCATGTGACAAATAGCTTGTGCTTAATACCGGTAGAGGGCACTGCTGCATCATAACTGCAAATGCGTAGCTTAGTGGTATGTTTTTGTTTTTTAAGCTTGAAATACTTGACTGATGATTTTGTAGAACTGGAAGGAGTCTGACTTCAGTAGTATTTAATAAGTGCTTACTTCACTCACAGTACTATCTATTGGAATGTTGGAATGCGATAAAATTATTTGTACAAATCAGTTCTTGTTAGATCACCACTCACTAAACGACTGTATCAAATGTCACTTGCTTTTATCAAACATGTAAAAGTTACAAATTGCCATTTGGCTTTTGACATTCTTGGCACTTAGACCCTTTTATCTTTTTACCACATAACAAAGCCTTTCAAAAACTATATTTTGGCAGCTGTAGCTCTTCCATAGTGTATACACCGCTAACCATGCACTATCAATTTGTAAAATTCCTGGACAGTCAGCTTGCTGCACATAGTAGTCACCCTAAAGTCCTCAGTATAACCCTCATTTGACCAGACTACTTCATAAATCAATAGTCTCACTGCAGATGCTCAAAGCATCGATTTGTCTGCAAACACTGATGAATTCCTCCTGGACAGATCGGTCTGCCTCTGTCGACGTGTCTAGATCCAGGCTCTCTTGTGAGGCTGCTCCCAATGTGTGATAGTGCCTCTGCAGGTCTGCGTGGCCAGAGGATGCCACGTTACCCGTGCGGCCTTGTTGGAGAAGCTGTCGTGCATGTCTCTCTGGGCTTGCGCAGAGGACCAGCGAGCTTCCAAGAGAGGCTCGGTAGAGGGAAGAGGAGGAAGAGCTTCCCCTCCATCGTTCAGGTGATGAACAGCTGGAAGAAGAGCTCAGGGAGGGAGATGGCGGAGCACCTTCAACACCATTACCCTCAGATTCGGGTGGCTGGGGTTGAGAGGCTATCTCCACGCAGGAGGAGGTCCGATAAAGGCCAGCGTCGGCAGAGACGGGATCACAGAGTCCGTTGCTGGGAAGTGTCCAGTGCTTGTTTACTGATTGGTCACTGCACTGAAAAGGCCTAGCAGGGCTGAAGAGGCTCATGGGAAACAAGGCTTCACTGAAGAGCGCCTCATCTATGCTGCGACGTAGGTTGATGGGTGAAGGTGGACGTAGGTCTGCAGTGGAGTCACTGGTGAATGAAGATGCACCTGAAGGCTCTCTGCCACCTGTATCTTCAGGTTTTTCTGAACTCTGTAAATCCATGTCCAGGTCTCGGTAAGCCAAAGCCCGGTTACTGTGGTAGAGGAGGTCCAGGCCATTCAGACTGCTGCCAAGTCTTTCATCCACCAGAGTGTAAAGCGGGAGACTCTCAGTCTCTCCAAGTCCAATAGTGTCAACAATAGCTAGCTTCTCTTGCTGACTCAGGGTCCATTGGTAGCTCCCAGGCAGGATGGGTGACTTGGATGCCAACAGTTCGGTCCAACAACTTCCAGCAGCTGGAAGGTGGTCAGAACAATAAACTGGCTGTGCAACCACTAAGGCTAAGGTGAGACAAACCCCGAGCTCACAGAGTCTGCAGCTAAACTGGAACGCCCACCACGGCCAAGGATGGAAGACCTCCGCTCCACCCACAACACCCATTGCATTGAGCATTGCGTATAACTGAAGTCCTGCACACGCCAATGAAAACAATGCTGAAAGACACACCGTTGCAGCAGCACGATCCCACTCCCTGCTTTCAGCAAAAGGGCAGCGGTTGTAGCGCTCAGCAGGCGTTGGAGATGTGTTATTCAGGTGATAGATGTGCTTCGAGTCTGCCCGCACGTAGATATAGAACACAAAATAGGCAGCTGATAGAAAAGTTGCCAGTGCCACAAAGGTTCCCCGGGAGATGAGTGACAGAAAGAGGCACAGAGGAGGCTTTTGCTGGTAGAACTTCAGAAATGTAACTGGACCGAACGCAGCTGCAAAATGCAGGACAACCAGGCAGGCCAGGAAACAGGGTCTCTGAAAGGCCGAGTAGGAAAGCTGCATCCGTGAGCGCATGGACAGGAGAAGGAAAACCAGACCAAAAGCTGCAGTGAGGCAGGGAAACGGTGCTTCGTAGAGCATCAGTGAGGCCTCTGTGGAGGGTAGGCGGTCCTCGTGGCCATAGGCATCATACAGGAGTGAGAAGGACCTGGTACAACCAGCAGCTAATAGGAACAGGCTAACCAGAGCAAAGTAGCCACAACCAGTTGGGCATCGCAGTGGTAAGAAGAGCAGATTCAGTGCTGAGGCAATCGTCAGCATCGCAAAGACGCAACCAGCGCCGTAAATGTGGGCCTCCCAGGCCAGGCCCCACGTGGCCATAGCGCTGTTCCAGTCCGTGTACAAGGGCACCAACATCGGTGGAGCTGGGATCAGAAAGGGGCTACTTGACTGGTTGATGACAGTGGCGTTTTCTGTGGGCTTAATGTCCATGTAGGTTGTGGAATCCCACGTGGTGGTGGAGCGATTACAGCCTTCTTTAGCGACGTTGGTTGAGGTGGACATCCAGTCTTCAGTATACAGAAGTATATGGGGAGTTTCACGGGGAAGGTCTATAAAAAGAAAAAAGTAGAGATGATTCTGGAACATTAATAACTGAATGAGTTTTCATAAAAACAGAGAAAAAGAAAATGCATAAACTTTGAATTGACAGTAGCTGTAAACATGTACGGACACTTTTATATCACTTGAAAATGCACTAATGGAGTTCTAATGAGAATACACAGAAGCATTTAATAGTAAAACTATCAGAGTCAGAACACAAATGGGCTCGGGCCCAGGATGGGGAACGTTCTCCTAATGTGCTAATCCTGTGTAAAATCTTGTAAGCTGTTCAAACCGAGCGAGGCCCAAAAGCAGAGGTATGCATGTGTGGCTGAGTGTGGGTGTGTGATGTGAGTGTGTGTGAGTGAGATCAGCCCACTCCGAACCACAAGAGCTAGTTCTTGCGTTACGTAAGCCATCTGGAGTTTCCATGCAGCTATAGTTAATTGTGATTTTGTTAGACATGTTTTAGCACTGCAAAGGAAGTGGCTTGGCTTTGTAAATTAAGGAGTAGCCATGCATATGTGTGTTTGTACAAAATTTGCAGAGACGTCTGCAAAGCTCATCTACCCTGTACATGTTTATGTACTTCAATTACTCGAAAAGGATGTACATAAGGCACTTCACACAGCATAATGCCTCACAGATGGGCAATCAGACAAACATTTTTTCGGCCTTCTAGTCTCTGCATCACTGAGCTCCACAAACTGGTGCTTGTTCTTTTTCATAAAGCACAACCGATACTGCGTTCACCATGAAAAAAAGCAAAACAACAACAAAAAAGAAGGACCCATGCTAACAATGGAAGCTTATAAAGAATATGTATTCAAATGCAGCTGAAGAGAAACAGCTTCTAACTGCATATCAGGGATTTGCACGCACACACACACACAGGATCATTAGTCATTCTGCTGCAGGCTTATCAGAGACAATAACTCCACCATAAAAATTCAGGTGCTAAAAGAGACCACAGAGACAGGGACAAATGGGCAGGATAAATTGACAGCCTATTAAATCACACAGCAGGCAGATTTAATGTAGTGCACACTCATAGATATATTTTGGAATCATTTACGTGTCAGAAAGTGATGTTTTTATTGATTCAAATATTGCCCAAGTGCAGATAAAAGGCACTCCCACTACTTTTGTCTGCAACAGTAATTGAAACCCATCTAGCGTTAACTGGAGAATCCATTATATCCGGTGGTAATGTTAAATGCCTGTTTAAGAACATGAATGTGTAGACTTCAGAACCGCAACCCCCCCAAATCTTTGCCTATAGGCCGAAGATGTCTAATTTGTTTCCTGAGTAAAAATAAAAGCGGAATTCATGTGGTTTTCTGAACTCTTTCTCACATGTCTTTTATGGGTTATATTCTTGCGTTTCCCATCCCACCCTGTCCTGGTCACCTAATTCATTCTTTTGTTTTTGATTTTCCTTCGACTCCCGCCTGCAAACAGGGAAACTCCCATAGGTGGGCTTGTTATTTTTGAACAGGGACAGTTTTCTTTACCAAATCCACTTTTCTCTTTGACAGCCCTGAGTTTTACAAGTCTCTTCCCATGCTTTATTTTTGTGCTTTTCCTGGTGTTTTTCCAAGTATATAGATTCAATGTATGGCAGCTGCAGTTTCTATTACGTTTAATATGTCAGCAGCTCCAGATGGAAATAGCAGTTTTTGGGGTTTTTTTTTTTTGCTCCAACGTGAAAACTCCTTTATTTTGTGCTTTCCATAAAACCTGTGTCTGTATATGCGTTCATTTTGGGGTGTGAATCCTTGCATTTACATGGATTTGTAAGCTACTTGTGAACAAAGCCATCATCAGATCCCTATGAGCAGAAAAGGACTTTCACAAGCGCTTTAGCAAAAGCACCTCTCTGCTGTTTGCCTGTGTTTGTTTTGTCATTATTCACATTTATCTCCTGACCTCAGTGCTGAGTCACAGCCCCAGGTACTGATGAAAACATTGAGCCTGAGGAAATACGAGCCCACCGCAGGCTCACTTCTGCATCTCTAAATGTGATGCAGCAGTTTTATTTCACACCCTGAGCTGATCCAGAGCAGCGGGCGGAAACGCAAGGATCGATTTTTGTGAGTGGCTTTGTTTTGTTTTGTTTTTTTCACTTAAGTCTTAATGAAGCTTTAATAGCAAGATGCATTCAACGTGGCTCTGTTACACATCTCTCTCTCTCTCTCTCCCTCTCTCTCTCTCATGATGATGCTGGATTATTAAGAGCAGGAAAGAGATTTAGATGTGCAAGTCTGCAGTCAGCACTTTCACACCA